TAGAGGGGAACATAGCCCGGGACAATCGAACTCTACGGAACAAAGTGGCCCACTCAAACTCGCTCGTCGACGCCGATCTGAGTTTCAATTACTGAGAGAAGTGGTTTTCACAAACTCACGCTATCCGATACACTCATCCGGATACCTCAATCCGATGTCACGAATTCCGTTCGTGTTGAGATTCCGGAAGAGCTCCGCTTTCATCGCCATCACTCCGAGTGTCCACTCATGCAGCAAAAATATTCGCTCTGATATTCTGTCAGATGACATCACCGAAAGAGTTATTTTGCAAAGTCAATCGAATACGAAACTTGAGCACTCAAGATTCCGTGGGATACCACGTGGCATTGTCCAGGACAACCACGCCACAGGATCAAGGTCGATGGGCTGGTCTATTTTTGACAGTACGTGAGACTTTAGTGCCCGGAGCATTCCATGAGATATGGCCCCGGAGTAAGTCACTCATTCCGAGAATCTAAGGAACCTGATAAAAAAAATCAGTCTTAGCAGTAGAGCATTCGAAGACGATCCCATCCTCAGGATTTTGACTCCTCCTCCTCGGAGATTGAGCCTGGCAGATATGCATGTGGGTCAAACTCAAACAGCCTTGAACCGGAACGGAGCGGAAACGAACGCGTGATATTCCTCTTATCGTAAGAGATCTTTACGACGCATTCCGAATTGTTGGAATATTTCTGTCGATTGTTATAAAGCGTCAAAAGGAGAGCGTGAATTTCTCTTAATGGCTTGACCCCTTCCGCATCTCGCGGAACTTCTTCACAAATCATCCACTGCAGTGTTGTCGACGCGTGCGGTCGGCGAATTCCCCGTTTTCCTTCTCTCCCAACTCCCAATTATCAGGCACCTCATAACTCCGATGCAACTACTTTGGGAGCCTGCATCTCAGAGTCACAATTCCATACTTCATAATAGGGGGCTCAGACGAGTCGTCACCGTCGTTGATCTTCGAGATTAAAATTATGGTGAGTCGTCACGTCGTCATCGAAGTGTCTCCCGGGGTACGGATCCCGATACGCGAAGTCCATCAACTTTGTTGACACTAGACCGCGAATCTCGACTTCTTGGAATCCGCGAGCGGCACTTCAAGAATGCTATGTTTACATCCCACCAGAGTGTGATCTATATACGGGAGGCGCGGAAATGAGCGGGAAAATTGAGGAATTCTCCTCAGAGAGATATCGGATACTGATTCAAGAATTTCGAGCTTGCAGTTCATCCTGAACGGAATCGCTTGACGGCAGCGTCAAATGCATCGGGTTTCTGAGCGATGTCGCGTAAGAGATCAACCGTGAGCGATCCTGGTCGCCATCACAGGAATGTGCTAGCATTGGAAGTCTCATGAAAGTGGGTACCCGGAAAGGGTTTCTATGAGCTCGGGTTTCCTCTGCTCCTCGGATTTCCCCTACCTTCGGGAAACAATCGTGAATCCGCGGCGGATTTCCGATATTGCGAGCGATTATCTGCGACCCTCACCGAGTGGTATTCAGGGAACGACAATTGAAGAGTTATAATCGCCGCGTCACTCAAGAGTGATCACTGTGCCGTAACCGCAATCCGTTTCCGTTCTGGATTCCGAGCCATGCATCTAGAAGATGGTCGAAAGGATTTTTTCCCGTCGACCGGAAACCTAACGGAGCCGATACCTGCATGCGGCAAAAAAAAACCAAGCTAGCAACACAAACACCAACGAGGCTCAGCTCTCCGTCAAGAGCGCTCTGTAGCGATTCGTTCGATTAACGTATACGGCGACGTCTCGAAGAGGGCAATTGTCGTTTCCACGAATACTCGGGAAAGTAAGAGTTCAGCACCAGAAGGGTACAGATGATACCGTGCGCTTCGGAATCAGATGAAAGCGTTTGGATCATTCGCTCGACAAAGACCCGAGTTTCTCTCTGGGGGACGCACGACTCCAGCACTTCTCATCCGATCAACTACGCTATTGATGCTTTGATCGACTTTCCAGAACTCATAACGATTTTACTGGGCCCACGAGCCCACGAAGCATCGATCAATTTGAAGTTCTGCGCAAACAAGTCCGCGACCGTCAATGCTCGCGAATAGTTTGATTGAAGACCGTTGCAAGCGATGAAAGACGATTTGCCTTACAGTCAGTTGTCCACCACTGGCTGCTAGCTCGTTCACTCGTTCAATATCTTGTTCTATTCGAAACTGGGACAGAGCCGAGTGGGGCTGCAGAATCACTCGCCGGCATGGCTTTGTCGGTTAAGTGACAAGTTAGCCGGTTCGTCCGAAAGTAGTTTGGGCGAGCGAGCGACTGTTCCACCGCATTAGTCCCCCTCTCGATATTCTTGTTTACTCGCTCCTCAATGCGAGTCGTCGAAAGCGTCGGCGTCGCAACAAACAGCATGCGCGGGAGCCGCGATGACCAGAACGGTCCTGTACAGCTGAACGAATGACGGCCTGCTCGGAATGTTGGGCGAGTAGGCCACCGTGCTTCAGCGTGATGTGTCGTATCGTATTCGGAAGTTTGACACGATAGTAAACAGTAGATTTGTTTTTGTTATGCTCGTGATAGCCAAAGCGGCGGCAGCGCTCGCCGTCAGAACACAACAACCGACTCGTCTGAGTCGCTTTCGGAAGGACCGTTCGAACCCTTGACATATGAACGGCTCGGGCTATCGAGCCAGAAAACGAGAGCTGACCTTCAGCTGCATCGCCATGACATAATGAGTTATCGTCAATTAGGGCTGAAATTCCCTCATCAATTTTTCGGGACGGACCTCCAGGTTCGCGTCCAGGTCTGGGTATGATCAAGAATCAAGATTACCCCATTCGAGCCTGAGAAAAAGGATTAGATTCATCCTTGACGAACCTCAAAACCTTATTGTTCATAACTCATAAGTCCCCGAAATCGATGATTCGTCATCGTTCGTTGAACCGTCCCTCTCGACTTTCCCGTGGGAGCTCATCAATGACGGCACAGCCCGTCGTAGGTTTACCCGTCATTTTCCAATGGAGGATTCGACGCCGCGCTACCTGGAGCCTATTTGTCTAGGCGGGTCAAGTGAGCCGAGTCACAAATGCCAATCGTTGTGGTCGTCTCCGGTTTTCCAAAGAAACACTTGCTGAGCACTCAAAAACACGCACGATTCGGGAACGAGCGGGAAAGGCATACACCGACGACGAGTCATGAACAATATTGTAAGACATCATTGCGGTCGAGCTTCCCCTCGAGCATCCGATCGTCAGAATTTCTACAGGAGTAGTAATCGGAGATATGGATGACGGCGACAATTATAGGGAAGAGTAGTGTACCCGACGGATTAGTTAATTGTAGCCTTCGCATCCCTCTGCGGGTCACTCGAGCTCTTTCGTCGACCGCGACAATAAACCCTCCAGTGTCGAGAAATTCATTCGCTGCTATTTAGCATCCGAGCGGCGGGCAAACCATTGAAGCAGAAGCTCTACTTGGCGACACGATTGTCAATAATTCAGCTGGTTGATTTCAGTATATAGATTCCGAAAATCATAACGAGGTTCAGCACATTCCTCGAGAGATTCGACGTCGTCCTGATGGGCTGCGAAGAAAATTATTTCCCATTTGAATTGGCTGATACAGAGCACGAGGGCCCACTCAGAATGTCTGGAGGTATAAAAGATTCAGGACCACTTATGACGTGTAAAACATGGCATGATGTCAAAACAGCCACGAAGTCCAGATTGGCTCCAGTCAAAACAGTCGATCGCGGAAAACGACTGAAGTGACAGCGCTCAAGCGGGAAAGAGACGCCAGAATCTTGTCACTCATTCACTTCATGAGGAGAAATGACGGCTTCAGAAACGAAAGAATCGTTGTCGTTGGATACTGTGCTCGATCACAGCGTGCGGTACAGCTGCCCATTGCACCCCGCGAGAAGAGAAATGAAGGGATGACGTGGGGAACGACACTCGTCGAATACTTCCACACGATCGAAGAGCCCAGCAACAACAAACCTAATTCGAATCATTCCCATCCTTTCGATAATTCCTTCCATCCCGTCCATTTCCCGCTGCCGTTTCCCCCTTCCAGGAAACTTCGGAGAATTTCTGAATCCGCGAAGTCGAGACATCCTCCAGCTTTTCGATGGGGTGGCAGGTGGGGCTGGTACCGTGTCTGTACACGCGCCTCGCTGCGGAGTGGTCTTGACGGATGCCGTGTACGATCGGTTTCAAGCCGACTTCGTCGAAGGCGAAGGCCGTTGGCGTTGAATGATTGTAACATACGAATCCGGAGCAAACGCAAAACCGTCAACCAGAGGAACTTCGACGAACAGGGCAAGGCCGAACAAGCGTTCAACTAGTTCACAATGGTCACCGGAATATGCGCACTTGAGAGAACCTTCCGTAGAGCCCAGCGGTGTTTATGCGCGACTCAAATGAGTCGGCTACCGCGGGCTGCTCAGTGTCGATGGAGGACAGATTGACGCGTATTGACCCAGTAAACTGTGCCTAGGCCATGAGCCGACTGTCATCAACTGGTAAATATTCGAGTTTCTCCGGAGCTCTCCTCGAGACGAACTCGCACCGGGTGCCATTCCAAAGCTCTTCTTCAACATTCTGACGTCGAAGACTTGTCTTCGGTGTTCACACATGCTGAAGCTAGCGGTGGTTGTCTTGGTCGACGGAAACGACGACGACGACTTCACAATGAAGATGTTTGGGAGTTGACGAGCCCAAGACTTGATGGAGCGCATTTTCGGGAATCCGCCTTCAAAGATTATACTTCGTTTCCCGAAGCTGATTTGCTGTCGACTTCGCTGCCGCCACCGAAAACGGCACCAAGTAATCTTCGTTGGAATCCTCGCTCGACGGCTGACGATCCGCCTAAACCCTTTTTTGATAATTGAGACCCGAGAAAGCTGTTGCCCAAGGCAATGTTGCATGGAGGGGCATTTAGCGATGGAACTCAAGGGAGATCTATTACGTTTTGAATCTATCTGCTGATCTACTTATCGACCTCCGTTAATCCTAGCACAAACCTTTGCACCTGCTCAGGATGGGATCGCAGCTAAGGCCGAATGATTTCTCGCATTCCAAGTCGGATCCACATGTTTGTTCGGACAAGCGGGTGCACGTGTGACCGGCGCAGCTTCCGCAGCGACGGGAACTCTGGAACGATGCTTTTGCAGGGCACAAGCTCGAATCCGCTATGCCCGCGGGACCACAAGCACAAAGTACGTCCTGTGAGTCATGAGATTCCGCGCATGCTGCTCGGAGAGCAATGAGTGCAGCGCTCAGCGCGACTATTGTTCTTGTCGTGCTCTTCATTGTCTTCTTCCGGCTCCTTCTCCCGTTTTCAAGTCGTTACGGAACTTCGCTCAGACAGTGCTTTTCGCCGTTCCGGTCGAACACGCAGCGCCTTCAACGGTCCGATGACCGTGGCATGATCGAGACGCTGAGATTCCGTGCACTTCACGTCAGCAGCCTTTTTGCATGCACGCTCACTGGTGAAGATCCGTGCCTATCAGTTTCCTTCATTCACGGATTTCATCCGTCAGCCAAAGGAATTCTTTGCGAAGTTTCAGGTTCACATGACATCTTCAGAAAACTCACAGTCGAGGAATCGGATCAAACTGAACGGAAATGCCGAGGAACGACCATTCACGGTTTCACAGACAACCCCTCAGCGTAAAGTTATTGAGTCTTCCGTCAGAAATGATTCCACGGCATGCTGAGGTGTGCTGGGAGAGGATTCACTGAGAAAGGCTATTGGGAGAGAGTTGTAGCTTGCGCTGATTTTCTCACGAGCCTCTGCTCGGTGCTACTCGGATACACGAAGCTAGTTTTGCCCCGGTATGCAGACTTCGCGCGCCGGATCGAGCACAGTCCCTCGAGAGGCAGGTCCGTCTCTCCTGGAACTGAGAGCTTTCAGCACGGATGTCTTTTGCCCCTCATCGACTTTCGCGGAATCCTAACAGCCTTTCCCGAAGGAGACTTCCGAAAAGCTAGCCCAAGAGGCGGAGAGCTTCGCTCACCCGTCAGGTTTTCCGGGGAATTCGCTTCATCCTCTGCACCTGATATGGTTGTATACCTTCCATCTCCGATCCGCTTTTGTCACTTCAGAGCGCTGCGAGAGTTCGGGAAGCTGTCTGTAAGAGACCTTCCAAGGAGAGGGACTTGATGATCGTTCCCTGGGTGCCATTGGTGTCAGGTGAGGATCGTGGGATCATGCATGAATCGCGGGTGTCAGAGCGTGAAGTTGGAAGACGGGAAACGTACTGACTCAAGGAGCATGAGTGATGACTCAGGAGTACAGTCGCGCGGAGGGGAGACACCACAGTGAATTTTATTGAAGGGAAGTCTCCTTATATATAGGAGATGGGGTGGCATGCGTACCTGCATGCATACGCTTTACTAAGATCGAACCTCGCTTTCTTACGAGCGGGAAGAGTCTTATCCTACTACGGAGCCGGGGTGTAACCCCACTTCAGCGACTCATCTCAGAAAGCGTCTCAACGCTCTGACATGAGTCATGCTTAGCTGCAAGTCTGAGGACTCACAGTTTTTCATCTTATTTCGCCTCAACAGCGGGAAGAAACGCCAAGATTCCAATCAGATGCTACCCAATATCTACTATCTAAATTCTCCGTTGAGGAGACATTTGAATGAGAATGACCTTTCCGGACACTATGAGCGCCACTTTAGCAATTCTGTCTCCTCGGCGTCCTCAAACTTCACCGGCAGACAGGGAGGCTCAAGGGTTCGAAGAGCAGGAGCGGGTTTTCGCGATTCCAACGGTGGTGTAATCGTCGCCGGCTTTGCCCCAAAATTCATGGGAATTTCGGTGCAATGCCATAGAATTTCGCTGCATGGCGATACGATCCTGAAAATCTATGTGCGAGAATGGTGTCTACTGATCCCATGGAGAAGTTCTATTCTTTCTCTCCGGTCTATCTTGATAGGTCATCAGCTCGTCAATCATCGGCTGACGAATACTCCACAGTCCACAGCCCGAACTCCCAGGCGCGAGAGCTCAACTCCGGCAGAGGAAGAGCATCGTTGTCGCCGAAAGGGGCTGCAACTCATGGCTGTAAGGGAGATCCGGCTGAACAGAAGAATCACACCGATCGCTAATCATCTCCCGTCATTCACGCTGCTGCGTGTTCGATAGCTGGGAGTTCCCGCACGCTGAGAGATTCGTTTCACGGACCGTTACGAGCAACAAGTGTTTTGTTGGTGTTGTGAGTGTCGCTCGCCTGTCAACCGGATCGAAACGCGTTCATCCGTCGGGTGGCGCGTTTTCTCTTCTGCGTGAGCTCGTCGAAAACATCTGAGAGTGAACAAGATCGATCGTGTTCCACCGGCGGTTCCTCACAGTGCCCCGGAAACGGAATAACCCATGATTACGAGTCTATGCTATGCTACAGCCATAGCTTTCCACGTGTTACGATAGTTATCAAGGAAAAGCCCCTGTCCTTAATCGATAAGGGTATTGGAGTTGGAGCGACAGAGAGAGAGGTCTTAATCGTTTTCCGACCGAGACTGAATCAAGTCGATCAAATGTCGATTGTGCAGACCAGAATCAGCGAGTGGGAGTCAGAACCCGACTTCGTGTCGTACAATGACATCCGATATTCTCCTCAGTGCTAGTCGTAGCGAGAGTCGGTCTTATGCAACAGACAGAGGGAGGAATCTGAATGATTCTGATATCGCGTGGAAAGCAACTCACGTTTGCGTGATCTGAGACCCTAGCGTTCAAGTTCGGGCCAAGAGTTCGAGATGGACTCAAGCGTGGTCACGAAGCCCGAGCAGTATTCTCATCCCTTGGGGGGACTGAAAGTGCTTTTCCCATACGAGAATCCCTACCCACAGCAGAAGGTACGTTCGATCATTCCGCTGACAATCATCATACATATTTTGATGGGAAGCTCCGCAGCGACCGGATCCAAATTTTCTCTTGAAGGTCATGATGTCCCGTCTCATCACGGCGTTGAAGCAAAAGAAAAACTGTCTCCTCGAGAGTCCGACCGGCACAGGCAAATCACTCTCGTTATTATGCGCGGCTCTAGCATTCTGCGAAGATGAAAAACGCAAACATCGGAAAGGTAATCGAAGTGTATCCCGCCGTCGTGCCCGACTGCCCGAGCGATGATAATGCTGATACGATGTTCTTCGAGCTTAGACCCAACATCCTATCCACCTTCTCAGGACTTGAAAAGTTCCCTGACGGATTGCCGCCGAAGGCTGAAGAAAGCAGCCATAGTCTGTTGGAACCTGAATTACCGAAAACGGTGAGTCTTGATGCCTCCTGCGGGACCGGCTTCTTATGTCGTACACACTTGGGATTCCGATCTTGGGAGAGAGGGAGGAATATCTCCGATGGCAATGGTTGAGCTTCTCTTTCTTCCATAATTTTTCTTTGAAGAAGTCCGTCATGGACATGTACGACGACGAATGCGTGAAACCGCACAATGAGTCAGCGAGCAAATCGCTACTCAACGAGAAGTCACCGCACGCGCCCGAGGGTGTACGAATTTTGAAGGCACCGAAGATTTTCTACGGTATGTCCAAATCAGGATTCAGATTTGTTTTCGACGCGCGCATTGGCGTCGCAACGGCAGAACACTAATCCATGGCATTAAAATCAGGCTTATTCATTAGGAACGCGTACGCATCGTCAGGTTTCTCAAGTTGTCAATGAGTTCCGGAGGACCGGATACCACAACATGAAAATGACGATTCTTGGATCCCGCGAACGAATGTGTGTCAGCAGGAAAGCTATCGAGTCCGTCCACGGGATTAGTGAAGAGTGCCGGAACTTCAGGAAGGAGAGCAAGAAAGGCCTCGGATGTCGCTTCCTGCACAGGTAAACTCCACGGATCCCCCTCTCCCAATAATGTGACTCCCAAACATTGCCGGGCCGAGTGATTTCATTAGCGTGTGTTGTTAGAACCCCTGTCGTTTGTAGATTACAGAAAATTAACCGATACTCGTATCCAACGAGTATGGAGGGAGGGAAAACGGAACCGTGGGATATCGAGGATATCGTCACAGTAGGCAAAAGGCACACTCTGTGTCCTTATTATTGGAGCATTCAACTCGCTGAAGACGCCGATATCGTGTTCTGCCCGTATAACTACATTCTCGATCCAAGAATCAGAGCCGCGGTTGACATCCAAGTCGAGAACAATATCGTTATCCTCGACGAAGCTCATAACATAGAAGATATCTGCAGGTAGAAATTCCCGGAGCGATCGATGTCTGGCATCTCAACGAGACGGTGTCGGTATGATTCCTCAATATCGTCTCCGTCCGCTTCAGACGCAACCCATGTTATGATTCTCTACAGGGACGCGATGGGGATGGAAATTAAGCTCTCCGACATCCTCCACATTGAGGATTTCATTGAAAATTCTGTCAAGAACCACAAGGAGACCGCTGCTCTAATGCAGATGTCGCCAGCCATCGGAGCCCTTCGGCATCTTCTGCTGAATGAAGCTGCTGATGTCCCGCTGCAAGAACCTCGAAAACTGAGCACAGCTCAGCTCTGCCAGTGAGTTCGGCGACACGGTCGAATTGACATGGATGACATATATGTAACTTTGCGAGGCTTCAGTTTGAGAGACTCTCTTCATCCCCATGAGACTACTCGAAGCGGCAGGCCTAGGACCTACAACGTGGCCTCGCGTCAGCGAAATTCTCGGTCAGCTCCTGAACGAGAGTATCGAAGAAGGGGGCGGAGAGGTCGCGGACGAACGATTGCTGGATACCCGGAGCCGGATTTTTTTCGACGCCCTCTGCGGCACCGGGGGTCACATGTACAAAATGAACGGGAAATTCCTCGATTGCTTCAGAGGTGCTGTGTCCAAGAAAATTGCCAAGGAATTCCAGAAGGAGCTGAAGGGGTCACCCGAGGTCCGTATGACCTCCTTATGGCACCAGCGTATCCTTAAGCAATAACAAAAAATCAGATTATCGTGGGCTAGCAGCTACGGCGGTGACTTTCAATGCAGCGTTCCTTTCCAGATTACGCTCCAGATATTTTGCCTGAATCCTGCTGTCGCCCTAGTGGACATTCGAGACAAACTTCATTCTCTAGTGGTAGCTTCTGGGACTTTGAGTCCAATGAAATCATTCGAGTGCGAGCTCGGAATCCCATTCCCTTTCAGTCTTTCGCTCAATCATGTTGTGAGAGAGGAGCAAATGCTGGCTTGCGTGTTGGCGAAAGGTCCAAAAGGGTCAGTCTCTTCAATTTTCAAGTCGCGCAGTTCGACCTGCGCTGCATACGACAACTCGCATCCGGAAATCCGGAAAGCTCAATGATAAATAATCTTATGTTGCTCAATCATCCCGCAGGCGCTCGATTATTTGTGATTACAAGAACAACTCCGAGCTTTCGCTCCAAGACGAGCTCGGCGAATCTCTGCTTAGGATCGTGACCCGAGTTCCCAACGGTGTGCTCTGCTTTTTCCCATCTTACTCTCTCATGAACAAACTCAAAGACCGATGGGGCATGACAGGTATGCGGCTCGAAACACTCACCTCGCCGATCTTCCCGATTCGACGACAGCGCTACGAATTTTTGTCAAATTTCTGAATTTCAGGCATATGGAATAGATTGGAGCAAGCCAAGAGGATCTTCGTCGAAGGTAAAATGAATCTCCAACAGCAGATGGAGGAGTATTACGCGAGTTCAGTGACAGCGCAAGGCTCGCTGCTTCTCGCTGTGTGCCGCGGTCGAGTCAGTGAAGGCGAAGACTTCCCGGACAACTTTGCTCGAGCCGTTGTCATAGTCGGGATCCCCTTCCCAAATGTTCGCGAAGTCACAGTGGGTGAGTTTATTTTGACGGATGAACCGATCCCCGACGGCTAGAACCTAGGGCAATCCGTGGTTTCGGTGGTAGCAGCGGGGAATTCTGGCACTTCCAGGCGATAAGATGAAATTCAACGACACGAGATCTAAAGATATCGATGCGGTGATGAGTGGATCCGAGTGGTATAAGACTCAAGCATTCCGCGCGCTGAACCAGGCCCTGGGACGATGCATACGCCACTCTAAGGATTGGGGAGCCATCATTCTCTTGGAAAGTCGTGTCGCAACTTACCGAGGCTACAAGGGTGAGCCTGAAAGATGAATGAGCGATTGAAGATGGATTTTCCTGTATCTTCTTTTTTTCAAAATACACCTTCAATCCATTATGACTATGACAAAATTGATAAGAATTCCACGGGGGCATGCCCTGTATGTGGATGAGGCAGGAATCAACAAAACTTCTGGGAGGGTAGAGGGAGGGGTGCGCACTGAGGCTAGAGACATGGTCGTTGGCTCTGACATGAGGAAAAGTTACAGCAGGGGCAGCACATTGTTTAGGGTGAGAGTAAAAGTGAGTATGCATGGCGGTAGCGGCGGTGAGAAAACATTCAGGTAATCATTCATCATCACTCGAACCCAGACTCAGGCAGGTCAGAAATGAAGGATCTGATCAGTTTTCTCTCGAGGGCTCTATTTGTCGCATTTTTGAGACTGTCATCCAGCCTGTTATATAGGTTCGCGAAGCGGTTGAGATAGGATTTTTCAGACCTGACCAGTCTTAGAGATGGGGCTTCTAGTATCTAGGAGGATCTATCGATTTCCTCCTCACGATATGAATCCCCACAGAAATGCTCTCGAGATGGGTGCGAGATCGTCTGGTGGACGTCTATTGTTTTGGTGAACTCGAGAGTCGTCTAGAGAACTTCATCGATGAGCGGAAGCTCGAGGACCTCCAAGCCGGATCTGATGGCTTGAGCGATCGCGAGGAAGCTAAGCTCAGATCGAAGACTGAGAAAAGGAAGTCCTCGGTGCCGATTAGGAGACCGAATTGTAAGTGTCATCAGTCTGAGATTCTCTATCATCTATGCGAGCTGCTTCCTAGGCACTCTGCACCTTCCAGCTGTGGATTGCCTGAGTTAGAGATCTGTCCTCAGTGACGCTGCTTGCTATCTTTTCCTCAGATTCAATTTTCAATCCGCCTCTGAAGCGGAAAATCGGACCCGACTCTTTCTCTGATTCACCTTCATCATCAAAATCGTTCCCCTACTTGGCGAACGCGACAAATAAGTTCGAATCCACCGCGTCGGACTCTCTTCTCGGGAGCGAAGAACAAGTGCGAGTTTTCTTCATTCTACTGACCATAGCTTGGCTAACTTTCCTGTACTGTGTTTACAAATTTTACTACTCGGTGTGAAGCAGCCCAATCCCGCTTCAACATTCATCCACGGAGATATTAATGATTTCCATTCGAAAATTGTAGTGAAAGAACTGAAACCATGCGAATCGCAAGTCGTCCCACCAAGTTGTCGTTCTACCCCTAGAGATATTTTTGAAGAACGTAAAGATCCAGAATAAATCCAGAGAACTATCATCGCATTGCTTCGCAGTCCATGACGATAGCTCAGAAAAATCATGAAACTTTTGACTGCACGTTTTACAGGTAAGCATCCTCGACAATCCTCCGAAGGCGAATTCGACGAATGCTCCCGGATCTTCGGAGACAAGCGGAAGGGAGCGGACGACCCTGTTCGTGAGCCAGACGGATAGTGATTCATCCGACATTTTTTCTGAGTAAGGCTCAAATTCGTGTGTATCTCTAAATCGAGATACATGCGGATGCCTTAGATATACGGGATAGAAATTTCTTAGTTGTGTTCCTTAGGCATCAGTGGTGCTCCCATCTCCTCTTGGTCGACCTGAGACCCGGGACTAGCTTTGTGTGAACTACCTGAAGGTGCGGTCCATAAAAAGGCTGACGCTTGTAAAAATCATAAGTGGCGGGAAATATTTGATGCGTTTTCTTTTTCTAACTCGCCCACTAATCCATGATCGTACATTGAATTCATCCCCTCCTTCGTGCATCCATCCATCAGTGTTTTTGAGAATTTAGGAAGATCGAACTAAATTATCCCGGAAAATAATAATCCATCGAATCGACTGATCGAGAATCTCTCGTCTTCGTGCTTCCTCTCTGCCCGGAAAAAATCTGGTGGGTCAGTTCCGAGCGTCTCTCCCCAGGCTCATGACAGATCGCCTCGATTACGAGACATGGTCTCTGAAAGCCTGCGTCGTCGAAAGTCGGAAGTGGAAACTACTTACTTCGCGTCCAGCCATGACGAGTTATGAGTTTTGAAGCAGCTTACGAGGAGAGGTTCATAATGAGAGGGACCTCGCACAGGAGGAATACCTAGTGCAAAAGACATTACAGGAATGTTTTCGTGTGTTGAACTCATCAATGATACCGATGGCTCCTTGAAGTGATGGTCAAAGTTAGTGGCACGGCAAATGTCCTCAAAGCCTGTGCGGCGTCTGAAAGCAATCCGGACACCATGCGCCGATTCGCGGTCGTACCACCGTCGAGCGTACCACCAGGCGATCCGACCACATACAGGAAGGCTTATCGATTTAATCCTCTCTCTCACGTAGACGAGAACGATGAAGGCTTCCGCGCCTCCTCGGAGCAATCCTACCTCGCGGGAACGGCCGGCCCCGGAGCGGATCAGACGAGCATGTGAACTCTTCCAGTTTCAAGTCCATGGGGGCTCACACTGCCGTCAGCTTATCGCCGCACTCCCCTTTCCTATGAGATCGGTCCGGTTTCGGGAGGGACAAGCGGGTAGCCTTAGGGGAGGAACGATTATTCGATTATTATCAGTCGTATGGTTGCTTACCGACCGGAATATTTCCAAATCGTGTTTGAATATCGTATTCTCTGCATCAGCAGGGCATGCCCGTCTACTCTCCAATGCCCTCGAACCTGGCGTGTCTATCGAAGGGTGTGCTTCCGATAGAGGACGCCCGTCTATTTTCTTATTGGATATTATTCCGGAAATATTATTCTGGAGTCACGCTTAGTTCCATGTAATTCACATAGTCACATATGTGTACCGATTGGTTCGATGAAATTCAAGATCATTTCGATTACCGTAGTCCCTAGAGACACCCTAGTCATAAGCGAGGCCGTGTACATGAAGGATCTTCACTGATGCGAGGGGAAAAATTATTTATCATATATAGATTCATATCATACCATAGAATTTTATTGGGTCCAGGTAAAATTCATGCTTCGGGTCGGTTATTTGAGACCTTTGTGCGGCATGGCATATAAAAGTTTCTTCCAGAACCATCGTTCACCCCACACAAGATAAGTCTTCGTGCTGAGGACTGCGCGAAGGTTCTCACTCAAGGTATCGGCAGTCGGAATCACACCCCTGAGCACGACTATCAAATGGTTTGCGTGATCGTCGAGCATCTGGTTATAAGCTGCTCCGAATTCGATGGCAAACCAAGACGAGTCCAGGAATTCCTGAGAGAGTATCACAATCGTTCTCTTGGAGTTCTGGACGATATTCGATATGTTCCAAGTAATAGCCTGTCCCGCGATGAAGTCGCGCTCGTGGAATGCCAGACGGAATGGGATCGAGAGACGCTTTTGCTTTTTCGGAAGATGACTCTCGAGCTCGTTGAGGATTTCCATAGCGACCTCGCGATCACTGCTTGAATACGAAAGGAAAGCATCGTATATCTTGCGCTCGTCGGAATGAGGTTCACTCGACAGGCAGCGGAATAAGCGATTGAAATGGACGTAGATGAAGGTGGCCAGGCTCCTGTTTTTGAAATACAGAATCATCGCACCAAGCAACAGACCTAGCACCAAGAGGAAGCCGGATGCGGGAATCCATACAAACCAATCGCCGACCGGACATATAACTTCCCACGGAATGCGGCTCAATGAAGATTCCTGTCGGCCATCGACCTCGAAGGGAACGCGACACCGGATTTCGGATATGTTTAGAATCCTAGGGGAATTCGTGCTCAGAAAGTTTCTGAAGTCCTTCGTGTCGCAATCACAAATCCACGGATTATTGGAGAGAGCGATCGTTAACTTGGGAGTTTCCGTTGGATCTATGTTCAGTCTTTCCAATTTATTGTACTCGACATAGAGATATCGGAGGTTTGGCGGGAAGTGGGGAAGCATATTGTCGAGTGTCATCAGCCGATTCTTGTTCAGATTCACGCTTCGAAGTGATTGATAAACGGAAATTCCTTCGGGAAAAGCACTCAGGACGTTGCCTTCGAAGTCAAGGTCTGTAACGCCCGATGGAAGGACGGGGACCTCATCAAGGCCCTCGTAACGGCAAAAGACCTTCGTCGTAGCGCTTGCGGGGAATTTCAAACATTCGCATGCCTCCGGGCAATCGTCCACCCGAAGTGAGAGCTTGTCGAGGTCGACTTCTACGATACTCTGCTCGGTATCGTTACAGAAACAATTTTCCAAATTCTCAAACTCAGCGAGTTCACTTCTCATTGAATTTTGGAGGTAGGACAGGAAATCGTGGTTGTGGCCGGTGCACTCGAAAGGATTTCCATCTATGAGAAAAATGTCTTCGCCTCGCGATTCCTGCCTGATAGCCTTGAGTCTTCTCATGGAGACTCGCTTTATTCTATTATTCCTGAGTGAGACCATCGTTTCCCCATCCAGAAGAAGAGGCACTTCAAAATCTGTGATTAGATTGTTGTCCAAGTCGAGGAGGCTGAAATGCTCCAATCCGTTGAAGGGAATATTTGGAAACGCAGTGATTCTGTTATTCGAGAGGAGCACTCGCCTGATTTTTGAGTTCGAGAGTGATATCAAAGCCCGTGGAAATCCGAAGTGTTGGATTTTGTTATCACTCAAATCTAAGAATTCCAACTTTCGCAGGTCTTCGAAGGAGCGACTTTCGATGAAATTAATGTTGTTGTGACTCAAGTCTAAGCTCATCAAGTTGCTCGTATTAATGAAATCGTGTCGAAGTATTGATTCTATCTCATTGCCAAGCAGATCGAGCGTAGCCAAACGGGGTATATTGTTGAGCGAATTACCGAGCTGCCGTAAACGATTCCGTGCAAGGTTCAATGACTGGAGTTTCTCGTTCCCACGGAAAAAGTTTTCAGGCAAAGACTCGAATTCGCTGTGAGAAATCTCGATCGTGCTTAGAAAAGAGGGGATTCGTCCTGTCCCTGGCCTCTGCTCTACGGGGAACCGTTTCAACGCGCTCCGAGATATGAGGATGCTTCTCACAGATTTAGAGCCAAGCGCGTCGAGAATGCCTCTCGGAAGTTTTTCGAGCCGTGGCAGAGAATCCAGTTGAATTTGGAACAACGACGGCGCTCGGCTGAAAGCACCCGCGTCAATCGAACTCAAGTTCGACCATCTCTCCACCCTGAGAAATTGAAGATTCTTCAAACCATGGAAAACACCATCGGGAATCTTTGACGCATGGAAACCGCTTAAGGTGAGGAGATTCAGCCTATCGAGTCCGGAAAAAGGTCTCCACGCGAAGCTCTCGACGGGGGTGTCATAGATTTGCAAGCTATTCAGATTTCGCAACGCTGAGAACATTCCTCGATCAATGCTCAATATTCTCGCTCTTGAGAGAGACAAGTCCTCCAGTCCCGGAACGACTCCGAGACTCGGCGGAATTCTGGACATACCACAGCGCAGGTCGAGTCTCTTCAACGATGTGAAGTCCTCGAAGAAGTCATCGCTGAAATCAAGGCTTTTGCTCGCGTCCTCCAAGAGAACAACAAAAGCAAAGACGTCGGCCGAGATGTTTGCGAACAGAGACCGTTTCAAAATTCGGTCCGGAACCTTCAGCGGATTCGCTAGACTCAGGACGGATAGCGGGAGCGAGTTTCCATCTGCAAAAATTGGGTGGTCTCTAGCGAAGAAAACGAGTCAAATCAGCGTGAGGGCTTTCGGATCGACTTGAGATTTGGATTTGTGTGCTCGGAATCGAGTGACGATTAGCGACTTCTCAGATGTGGTTTGGACCGCTGATAAAGAGCATGGGAAATTTCTAAACCGAGGATCTCACCAAGTATCTGGGATAAGGAAAGGGGGCCTTCAGGAATTTCGCAATCGATGTAAAACAAACTGGTCACTCCGACGACATTCAGCACGGTCAGTAGATGTGCCACGTGTGGAGCATCGGTCGTGCACTGAATCTGCAACGATAGTTTGAATTACGGTAAATATACGAAGTTAATCCTGAATAATTCAGAGTTTATGTGGATGGAGGCAACAAGGCTGAACGTGAGCTTAATAGGGGGCTTGGGTTTTTGGGTATCGATTCATGGAGGGTGAGGAGAGCTAGAAATATTTGGATGACTCACTGTCAGACGTCCCGCGCTCGAAAATTCAATCTCGAATACCGGGGTCCTCGTGTGGGGGCACGTCCCTCCCTGCTGGGGGTTGGACCTCTTCTGGCTGTCGATGGCGGTGTCCTGATCGATTTGATTCCTAAAAGCAGTGTCTGCATCCGCGTTCTTCGAATAGCACCTCATTCTGAAGCCTGATACGTCGTCCCTGGCGGGGAGTTATGTGTCAGCAAGCGTTGACGGTTCTCGATTCCTCGTGACAATATGCACAGATATCCAAAAGCTGGATAAATCCGTTCCATTCGATGTGTGATGTTGTCCTACACAACCTCTGTAGACTCACAGAGTTTCATTCCTGCAGCGATAATTCAAGATCTCCAAGTCGCAGGTCCGTGATGGCAGAGCCGACATTGCCGCGCAGGACAAAGCATGAACGATGAAAGTTGTAAATCCCGGCCTGGAGAATGATTCCGAGTAGAATAAGCCCGTCGCAGCTTGGGTGAGACAGGTATATGATTCTCCCAGAAGCAGCTTCGAGCTCGGTTTCGACGCGGATCAGCAATGGTCTTACTACCAATCATCCTTGTCCCTCATCCCAGGGCCACCCCACACTGGAGCGAATTCCGCCGCGGGGAAACACTCCGAAACGATTTTCCCACGAATCGCTCGACCCCCAACACTCGAACCATCCGAGGTGCCGTCTTTGTGAGACAGTCAGAAAACCAGATGCGTCGACCAAGAGGGACCACAGAGACTGCGACGGCGCGGCGACTATCCTCGAATGCGATCCGTCGCTGCAGTTGGAGTGAAACTTACATCCTGAGTTCAAGGGAGAGAGCTCGATGGAGCATCACAGCGTCGTCCGGTGCGATTCGAGAAAAAGAACTCGATGGCTACCCTCTAAATATGGCAGTCTTGACAAGTGACAAGTAACGCAGCCTATCCAAATCCCAATCTAGAAGGTCACATACCCACGAGACCTGATATGAGATTCGAGGCTCTCCCCATGGGGACCTCTCCCACCACAAGCCTCGTCGGATGATTCGTTTGCTGGCATAAGGTTGTTGGAGAATGCTCGAGAAAACAGGGAGAGTAATCTCCACGGAGATGTCTCTTTCTCAGTCACCGGATGAGTTGTTGACGATCACCCAGGAAGCGGTCAGAATCTACTCGTTGGTGGAATTTTCACCGAAATTCACCAATTTGCTGGGACGCTAAGGAATAATGCAGGGATGGCGCTCGGCAGCCGGTCTGCTGACTTTCCGATGAGCGACAAACATTCGCTCCTCAGTCAGTAGATCTTAGAGGGACTGGATGCGGGCCGTACGTTCCTATTCGAGCCATTTTCGGAAGAATAGGGAGCGGCGGACAGGAAAATTATGTCACTTCCCTAACTCGCTCCGACTGCCGCGATTAGATCTGATATGAGAAGACTGTCTTCAGCAAAAGCATTCAATTTATTTCAAAATATTGCAGACTGAGAGACCCCGCCGGTGACGCTCAGAGCGTAACTCACGGATATCGATTTTCTTTTTGGCGATTCATAAAACCCCGAAGTAGAGGGAGAACTTGAGAAATGAATGAGTACGTGTTGTCGTTGTCGCGTACGATGCTCAATATCATGGATGGCTCCCTCGGTCACGAAAGGCTAGTATCATTATTCAGGCTCGTTCGGCAGATCCATGCGGCATTGCGCGGAGGAGCTTCTCCCAGAAACATTTTTCTCCCCAAACGAGACGAGTTTTGGCGGTGAGAACACCGCGAAGTCTCTCATCCAAAATCTCCAATGCCGTTATGAAGTTTCTGTGTCTGAGATAAAGTATCACGGCGAGAACCATCGCGGAGAGAAGTACGGCGGAGCCAGTGATCAGCATCTATGCAAAGAACTGGCGAGCAGGGCAGATGACGTCCCAGGGAATGCGGCTCAGAGTCGACTCTTGATGCCGTTGAGCGCGGAAGAATCATTACATTCCATGAGCGGATAATTCAAGATTTTCGGCCGATTCCGATCTAGGAACAATTTGAAATTCCTCATATCACAATCGCAGACCCAAGGATTATTTGAAAAGTCGACGAAGAAGGAAAGTTGACTTTCGGGGTCGACACCAAGTCTTTCCAGCTCGTTGAATTCGATATGCAGATCGTGGAGGCTAGGCGGAGCATATTGCATGAAGTTATCGATCGATCGAAGTCTATTGCGGTTCAAGTTGATGCTGAGCAGCGACTTATAACGGGAGATTTCCTCCGGAAAGTTAGTCAGGGCATTGCCTTCGAAATCGAGATGGGTAACTTCTACAGGCAGACGGGGAATTCCTGCCAGTTTTCGATCTCGACAGCGAATATGAGTCGAGTCGTTCGAAGGAAACGATCTGCACTCGCAGGCGGCCGGACAATCGATCAATTGGTGAAAGAGCTCGTCGACTTTTACTCCAGCGATTTTTTCCTTGGTGTTCTCGCATATGCAGTTCTCCAGGTCCCGGAAAAGAGCAACTTCAGGGCTTTGATAGTTCTGGACATAGTCCAGAAAAATGTAATTGCTAGCGTCACACTGGAATGGATTATTATCGATGAAGAACTCGTGTAGGCCGTAGGATTTTCCCCTGATTTCTTCGAGTGTCTTCAGGCCAACATGACTGATAGAATTGTTCTGAAGAAAAACCTCAGTTCTTTCGCTCGAGAAGAGAGGAACGCTGAAGTTTGCTAAGGAGTTGCCGTCCAGTTTCAGAATACGCAAGCGGGGCAATTCGTCGAATGGAATGTCCGGGAACGATGTGATCCTGTTGTTAGAGAGGTGGATGCTCGTCATTCTCGGGTTGGCTGCGGTTATCGATGCTCCCGGAGCGCCGAAACGGTGAAGGTTGTTGTCGCTCAGAATCAGGGACTCGAGGGATCCTAAGCTGTCAAAGGACCCGGTTTCAATGTATCCGATGCGATTCTTGCCGAGGTTCAGGTAGATCAAAGACGTCAAATCACGGAAATTGATCTTCGAGATCCGCTTGAGATCGTTCCCGAAGATATCGAGCCATTGCAAGGCCGGTAGGTTGCTGAGAAAATTTAGCTCCCGTATGCGATTCTCCCTGAGATCTAAGTTTTCAAGATCTGTGGCACCACGAAGAATATTGGCAGGCAATGCCTCGAGCTCGCTCTGGACTATTCCGAAGTAGTTCGATGCCTTTCGAGTCTGCTGCTCGTTTTCCGGCCACAAATCGACCGGTAGATGCTGCAAACCGCAGCGACATATGAAGATGCGCCTGATCGTCGTGAGATTCTCGAACAGTCCCCGAGGAAGTTCCTTCAGCTTCGGTAAAGACTTGAGCAGGAGGTCGCGTAGGACCGGCGTCTGATCGAAAACTTCGGCGTGGATCGTCGCCAGGCAAGGCCACCCTTCAATTTGTAGGGTTTGCAAGCCTGACGCACCTTCGAAAAAATCTGCAGGGATCTTTTTCTCCCGTATGCCAGAGAGCCTGACGTCAAACACCAGCTTCAGATGTCGGAAAGGACTCGGATCGAACTGAAGGCTCGGGGCCCCATCGATTATCAAGGTACCCAAGGCTCTTAGACCCCAGAAGAGCTTCGGCTCGATTTCGTAAATCTCGCTCCCAATCAGGTTGAGCTCTTCCAACTCGCTCAACTTTCCGACACTGCGAGGAAGTATCGTAATGCTCAAGTTCAGCCTGAGCCATCGTAATGACTTGAAATCCTTGAAGAAATCATCACTGAGCTCGAAGGTGCCCTCCGCAGCGCCTCTCCGTAGCGAAAACACGGAGATGTTGGCTGCGATGCCGGAGAAAGAAGATCGCGGCAAGATCCACCCCCCCCCGATGGATTCGACGGATTCTCGAATTCAATCACTCTCAAAGGAGCCGAGTTGCCATCTGCAAGGAATCGGATCGCCTGAGCACACCGGAGCCGCCTGCGCAGGGTTTGAGGATTGACTTCTGGTAATATTCACTGTGTCAAAAGATTTGGCCTCACTCATCAGCATGGCTGCGACAAGAACGAAGAACGCGATTTCACCGCGATCGCTACCCTGAGTCGCTTCTCCGTAGAGATACAGTGGGGGCAGCGAAAAGGCACATCACAGCCCCATCGAAGAAACGCTCATTGAAGATCAGACGGTGAAACCCCCCTCAGAACACATCTCACCGATATTTGGGCGAATGAGAGATTTCCTCGTGGCATTTCACAGTTGCGGTAGAGCAAATGGCTTACTGGGCCGACTCCCAAACGAGTCAGTAGACGAGGGAAGTTCGGAGTCGCTCCCTCGCATTCGATCTGCAATACAAATGGAGCATCGGTGTGCGGATTCGAGATCCTTCTGATATTTGCCTAGTACCTCTCAGGGTTAGAGAACGTACATGCAGTTGTCTCCCGCTCATGATTTTGATCTTGAATACAGGAGTTTCCGTTCCAGCATTTGGGTTGCTACCGTTGGAAAACATCGAACGAACTCCGGATCGAGATCGCTTGCTGAGCGTCTTGGGGCCGAGCGGTGCGATTCGAAGTCATCCCACTCGAATAACAGTCGAACACAACACTGAGTCTCCCGGTCCCGGTACTGGAAAAGAAGTTGCGAAATCCAGCGCGACGGGAAGTATGCGAGAAGGGAAGCATGTATGTATGTATGTGTGCAAGGACGATCCAAGCTCAAGCCCCCATGTCGCGCAGTCGGGGTCGGTCTGTCAGTCGCACCAGCCGGGGATGTCTCCGTTCACTCACATGATGTTCTGGTCACAGCAATAGCTTGCGGTGCCTCCGCCGCAAGACCGGGACTGGGATCCCATCACCATAGCCAAGGTCGAGGGGAAAACGGTAAAGAGTACTCGGAACATAGTGAGTAAATGGTCCCAGGCAGAGGGGTGGCGTTCCGAACGGGCTCGAATATCAGATTTCAAGTACACATGTTATCGGATAAACCGTCCATTGTTTCACGAAAACATCCGAAGAGTGAGGGCTGAAATATCCCGGGGGAAGGATAATTCATCCAAGTCTATCGAGCTCCATTCATCAGTCATAGCACTCAGCGCCGATAACCAGAAAATGTCGTACCGGAGGAAACGGCTTGTCTGAACGCACGTCCGGTAGGCATAGTTCATCAGATTAGTTTCCGCTGTCGGTCCCATGGGATGAATCATAGTCGACAGGGAGAATAGAGAAATTCTTCGGGTCTCCCTGCAGGGGTCGGTCCGGCTCTCTCTTGAGTCTTACGGAAGCGTCGTTATTACGGAAGCGAGGGCTCTTCGGACTACATGGGGACAGAATATAATTCAGCGTTTTCTTTAAGAATCGATACAGCTGGTCCGTTTCTCAATCCAAGTTTCGCATATTCATTTCGAAGTTCGGAATAGGTTCGGGCTCACAGGGTGCCGCACGCCTCCTGTGGCGAACAGCCTTAGGTAGACCTGCTAAGTTCAATAAAAATCGCGGCAGCGGGCTCGAGCGAACCAGTAGCATAAAGTAGCGAACCCCGGGCATCCAGTGTCCACATTACCAGATTTCTGATTGAGAGGGATATCCCCGGGAACGTTCGCAACACCTCCTATGAGGCATCGCATATATTAATTTTCTCCAGAACCATGGTTCACCCTAGACGAGATACGTTCTTGTTTTGAGGATACCCCGGAGCCTCTCATCAAGACTCTCGATGGGTGGAAGATTACCTTTCAAGATGATGATCAAGCAGTTAACGCGATCCTTCAACATTCTGTCGTAGCCTGCTTGAAGTTCAATTTGGAACCACGCGGAATCGAGGAATTCTTTCGAAAGAATGATTATCGTCCGGTGGGCGTTTCGCGCGGCGTTCCGAATGTTCCAATCGATCGTTTTCCCGGGGACGAAGTCACGCTCGTGGAAGGACACCTTGAATGGGACCTCGATCCGCTTGTTTTTTCCGGCTGTGTCCGACTCGAGCCCGTGGAGGATCTCCATGGCGATTTCGCGGTCTTGAGATGCATAGGAGAGGAACGCATCGAATTTTCTCGTACCGTCCGAATCGACATCGCGGAAGAGACAGTGATAGAGGGGGTTGGCATGAAAGTGGAGACACGCTGCCATGAGGTTCCTGTTCTTGTAGCATAAGGTCACCGCGAGCATCAAGAGACCGAACATCGCAGCCAGGCTGGCTATCGAAAGCTTGAATGTCAAGGTGCTCTCAGGGCAGAGGATATCTCACGGTATGCGGTGAAGAAAACGTTCCGTGCTGCCGTCGACCACGAAAGACCTGTCACATTCTATGGTGGAATAATCTGAAATCCTCTGCGCATTCCCATCGAGGAACAACTTGAAGTTCCTCATCCTGCAGTCACAGATCCACGAGCTGCCCGAGAGAGCTATGGAAAAATTCACGTCAGTTTCCAGCGGAGGGTTTAGACGTTCCAATTTGTTGTGCTCGACATAGAGTACTCGGAGATTCCGCAGAGCTTCCGTGAAGATCTTGTCGATTGATTGAAGTCGATTGTGCCTCAGATTGACATTTCGGAGATCTGGATACAAGCTAAAATCCGGGAAATCCCTCAGTGAGTTTCCTTCGAAGTCGAGATCCGTGACCCCTCGAGGCAGCTCGGGGAGAATTTCCATCTCAAACTGCGACACCGAACGTGGGTCGATGCGTTAGAGGAGAAAAGTCTGCATTCGCAAGCTTCTGGGCAATCGTTTGGTGAATAATAATAGAGAGCATCAACGTCCACATCCAGTGGGTTGACGTGGCTTATCTCGCATCTGCAGTTCCCTAGTGTCCGGAACTCAGCGATGTCTGGGCTATTAGTTTTCTGAAGGTAGTCAAGAAAAACAAAGTCTCGCCCGTCGCACCGAAATGGGTTATCATCGATAAAGTACATGTGTTCACCTCGCGATCGTTCTCTGATCTCCTCTAGGCTCTCCATCGTAACTACCGCGATGCTGTTGTTCTTCAGGGACACCACTGATCTTTCACCCGAAAAGAGAGGCACATCGAACATTTTAATAAGATTATTGCTCAAGTCGATACCGACAAGTCTTCTCAGCTTGTCGATCGGCAGATGCGGCATCGTCGTGATCCTATTGTTTGGAAGGAGGATCCGCGAGATTCGTTGGTGAACTTCGCTTATCAGATGGTCGGGTCCACCGAAACGCTCCAGTCTGTTGTCACCCAAGTCTAACGACGTTGGATATGAGAAAAAGCATCGGGAATGAGCTCGACGGGGGCGATATTTTCGATATCCAATATCTCCAGACCGGGAGGACCCAACAAGAGCTCCCGGGTGATCTCATCGATGCGCAGTCTCGATAGGCTCAATTTGCGTAAGGCTCTTAGATCCTTCAAGGTGGGCGGGAGTTTGCCCACACTGACGTCCAGCCTGAGTCTTTCGAGAGACGTAAAGTCTTCGAAGAAATCGTCGCTCAATTCGAAATTCTGGTTTCCGATCGCTGAGAGGATTGAGAAACTCTCTATATCCGCAGAAAAATTGACGAAGGGGGTATTTCGCAGGACCCCGTCAGGGATCCCGTGAGGATCCTCTAGCGTCATTGATGAAACCGTAAGCGAATTCCCTCCTGCGGACGGTCGATTATGGTAGGGAATTGTATGGTGACAACCGCAGGGGGCATTGGACTGACTCCGGGGCTCTAACCTTTGCAAGAAATAAACTCAGAACTCACCCATGATCTCGACGAACGAGATTTTCTCCCGAGGGATCTCGCAGCGTTTGTAATTCAACTCACTCACTCCATCGACCTTCAAGTGAGTCAGCAGCGATGGTATGTTCGGAGTTCCGCCGCCACATTTCACCTTGAACGAGATCACAGTGTCACATGGCCGATAGATTGGAAAGGGAAATCAGGTCTCGAGATCGGGATTCCGATATATTGTACGGGTGTCTCTCTCAACCATATTCTCATCGAGAAACGTACGGTGGAACTTCCTCTACTCCTGTATTCCATTTCGAACACTGGGAACCGTGGCTCGGAATCGGGTTGTTGGCCCTCGAGGGGACGAGGCTCCTCGTGTGGGCCACGAATCGGAGAGACTCCGTCCACGAGATTATCATACGAGTAGCAGCAGAATAAAATCCTGAATCCGAAATCATCGGGCCTGGAAAGTACGTAGCTGATTGATCAGCTATCTGTGTACGAGTGAGGCGATTGGAAAACTTCTTACGCTTTTCGAGCGCTCGCTGAGATTTTGACGTAAGCAGGAGGGCGGAGAACGGATCCCCCGGACTCATAAGGAATTCACGCAACAGAAATATCCTGGGAACTCCACGTCGCAGGGCGAAGTTCCGATATCGTCTTCATCGGCAGCAGTGCGTAGACGACCGCCAACATCCGGTGGATCTTAGGTCCTGGACGACGCGCGGGCTTTCCTGTCAAGTACCAGAGTTGGAATCCCTGATCAGACTCATCTATGTATTGAGTTCAGCATAGGATATTTTCCACGAGTACCTGGTCCGTGAAACAACACTTTCCGGCACTCGGGATCCCTGTCGGGAAAACAGCGGCACCAAGAAATCTCCTTCGGAAGAGCGCCTACAGGATACGATTGGGTCTCGCTACTCTCATGACATGAATCAGTGCTCAGCAGTCTCAGACAAGGAAGGGCATTGTCAGAGCTCGAGGGAAAGAGTTCGGAGAATCAGCTTTCCGGCTCAGCGCCGCGCCGTTTGAGGTCCAATCATTCCTCACGGATCTTAAGAAGAGAGGGTAGCAACCAATATAGGAGGAATATTCCATGGTCCCCGAATGCTGCCGAAGTCCCCCTGAAATTTTGGTACCCTGAGGATGTAATCCTCTCCTTTCTCATGGGAAGGGCGATAGGGAAGCGCACTTTGTCAGATGATATTTTGGTGCGAACTGCATACTCCTGCAATCTAAGAGATTCTGCGACCGGAGTCCTGACATGGAATAGCAGACTTGAACTTTCCGTCGAACCGATCATTCAAAATATGCTCTCATATATTCATATGGATGTTAATGAATTCGATGCATTCGATTTCCGGAGTTTATTTCACATCAATTATACCGTTCGGTCCAGCGGCAGGCTATTGGTGCAATCATTCGATTGTACAATACACATTACCTGCATTGCATGAAGAAGACAGGATAAACGGGTGATTTATCAAATATAAACTCCGGATTGAATGTTTGGAACCTCAATTCCGCCCCGGTCTCCGTCGAGCCTCGAGAACTCATCGAGCTATCAGGGGGATTCCAAGGCCTGCTATATGCCTATATTTCAGAATCTGCTGATATTATTCTGCCCCTCATTGGCTCCACCGCATCTTTCCCCGGCTCTCGTTACTTCCTGAGCTTGGCGCTTCTACCGTGCGGCATCGCATACAGCAATTTTTCCCAGAACCACCTTTCTCCCCAAGTAAGATATAATCTGTTTTTTAAAACACCCTTGAGCGTCTCACACAGTTGCCGATCGAATCGCTCACTCAAGCCCTCATCAGATGGGAGATCACCCTTGATAATTATGATCAAGCGGTTGACGTGGTCTTCCAGAGTCTGGCCGTACGCAGCTAGGAATTCGATCGAAAACCACCGCGAGTCGAGGAACTTCTCGGACATGATAATTATGGATCTATGGGAGTTTTTGACGAGCTCATTGATGTTCCATGTGAGTTCCTTTCCGGCGACGAAATCCCGCTCGTGGATCGCAAGTTCGAATGGGCCGACACCGGCGTCGCGCTCACGTCTGAGTGCGTCATGGACGGCGACGTCAGACTCGAGCTCGCGGAGGATCTCCATAGCCATTTCACGATCGTCGGTATGATAGGAGAGGAAGGCGTCAAACTTTCTGCTTTCCTCCGTCTCTTCTCCATTCGAGAGGCATCGGAACAACCAGTTCAGGTGGATGTACATGAATGCAGTGATGAGATATCTGTGTTTGAAGTACGAAACGATGGCGGTCATCAACAGCAGAAAAACGACAATGTAACTCGATGCGAGGATCCACACGGTCTCATCCGGACAAATAACGTCCCATGGGATATTTTTCATAACAGATTCCTCGCGCCCATCGATTTTGAGGGCGCTCTCACATTTTATTTCGGAAGGCTCCAAAATCTTCCCCGGGTTCGCATCCAGGAACCATTTGAAGTTCCTCATTCGACAATCACAGATCCATGGATTATCCGAAAGAGCCATGGAGAAATCGATGATGTTCTGTGAGTCAACATTCAATCTCTCTAATTTGTTGAACTCCAAATGGAGCTCCTCTAGATTGGGCGGCGCGGACGAGAACACCTTGTCGATGTTCCACAGTTGATTATGCTTTAGATTCACGAACCGAAGCTCCGGGTATCTGCGTATTCCTTCAGGGTAAACAGTCAACGCATTGCCTTCGAAGTCCAGATCGGTCACCCCGAGGGGCAGATCAGGAACTCTCTCCAAGCCTCCATGACGACATCGCACGCTGGTCGTCTTATTCCAGGGGAAGCGGAGGCATTCACAGGACTCTTCATCGGTGCAACTTTCCAATCTGATGGAGAGGTCACGGATGTTCACGTCGAGAAGCGTCTCGGTCGTGTTTTCGCAAAAGCAATTGCCTAACTTTCGGAAGTCGGCGACTTCGGAACTCATGCCGTGAAGATAACTCAGGAAATCGTAGTTGTGCCCGTCGCATTGGAAGGGGTTGTTATCGATGAAGAAAATGTGACTGTCGTTAGCTCGACCCTCGAAGTGACGCATGGTCACCAATCTGAGTCGGTTGTTCTTCAGCAGGACCGTGGTATTCACGCTCATGAAGAGAGGCACAGTGAATTCGTCTATCAGGTTATCGCTCAGATCGAGAACGCCGAACTTGGCCAGCTTGCTGAAGGAGATGTTTGGGAAAGCCTCGATCCGGTTGTTTCGAAGGATCAGTTTCTCTATGTGCTGGTTCCGTGCACTGATCAAGGCGCGCGAGGAGCCGAAGCTCACCAGCTGGTTTCCGCTCAATATTATCGTTCGCAAGAGTTCTAGTTTGTCGAATGCACCGTTCTCTATGAGTTTGATCCGATTATTCCCAAGATCGAGATGGGTCAAATATGTCAAATTACTCAAATCATTCGATGAAATGGATTCGATTAGGTTCCCGGCTAGGTTGAGTCGAGTCGAATTGTATTCGCGAAATGGACGTCTCTTGGAGACCCTTGGGTCGATTCGCTCCCTCGACGGCCAGATATCCGTTGGTATTCGCTTCAGAGCGCAGCGAGTGATATCGATGCTTCTCGCATGTTTGAAACTACTGAAAAGGCCTCGGGGAAGGTCTTGGAGCTTTGGCAGGGAATCTAATGTGAGGAAGGCCATGTACGGCGTGTGGACGAACGTGTTCGGATCGATTGTCTTCAAATCCAACCAATGAGACACTTTTAGGACCTTGAGGATCTTGAGACCGAGGAAGATCTCCGCAGGGATCTCTGTTGCTTTCATCCCAGACAACTTTAGGGTAGACAAGCGGCGAAGATTCGCGAAAGATCTGGGAGCGATCCGCACGGCGGGCACATGAAGGATTTCCAATGATTCTAAAGCACTCAAATTCGAAAATTGTTCCGGGGTGATTTCCGATATTCGAGCTCTTATGATGTGCAGCGTAGTCAGATTCTTCGGGATTTGGAGACTCGATGGGATCCTCGTTGTCGTAAAATTGAGCCAAAGCCGGCGAAGAGTCTTGAAGTCTTGGAAGAAGTCATCGCTCAAGTCGAAGGTTGAATACGGGAGATCCAGGTCGAGGTTAAAGCTCATGATGCTTGAGGAGATTCCAGTGAAGAGCTCACGCTTCAGTACTCCACCAGGCACATTCCGCGGATTGCTGAGATCCATATACGTAAGTGGCACCTTGTTCCAGTCTGCAAACGAAATTCACTTATCATCAAGGAACGAGGAGGACAGGGGGTGAGAGGTCGGGAGAGCTCCCGACGAATAAGAGAAGCTCCCTTGGATCCCCCCGCCGACGCCAACGGTTTCCTCATCATAGCCATCACTCGGCTCGATAGGTATCCACAAAGTTTGCTTCATAGGACGGAGATACCTAGACCAATTTCTCAAAGAAGCGCTCGACTGTATACAGTGCAGCGTTGCTCCGCATCTCGACGATTCGAATGGCGGAATTCGAGCTCTCGAAACAGGAGCCTTTCGAAGGACATTCATTCACCCGGAGGACGAATGCTCCCAGGCTAAGAGGAAAGACTGTGCCATGATCGAAGAAAGTAAGACGACGAGAGCGTCGAAGAAGATGGAGCTTGAAGGTCTCACCGATGATTCCTGAGTATGAGAGATTCCCCCGAGGAACTTCGCAGTTAATGTACCTCAACAATCGAACATTGGAAACTCTCAGAGAAGTCAGCAACGATCGCACGTTCGGGGATGCGGTAGAACAGTGAATCTGCAAGATCAGTTTAGCGTATAGATTCTAGATGTGATCTACAAGTCGAGGCATCACGAATCACTACAGATAGTGCTCTATGAATCGCCAAGGAATGCGAGACAGAACCACATGAGCGCACCGTCATCGTGGTGACATTCCTGTTCCTGAACTTGATTTCGAATGCCCGAGTCCATCCACCGGAGTCCGAACGCCCTTCCTTAGAACTTCGCGGAATGTCGCTCAGAGGGATTGCGTCTTCATTTTCACCCTCGAGACTCGTCGTGTCACCAATGGTCCTCGACTCATTTGTGAAACAACGGAGCTCGAAGCCTGTGGTCGTAGAGAGAGAGCTGGAAGAGATGTCGCGAAGTGACTCCGGGGAGCCAAGATCGGCAATTTCTTCGTCATCTACTTGAACATCTCGACCGAGGCATGGAAATCTCCATGACTCCACTATATTCGGTGAGGCGAGTGTTCTCGATAAACTCACAGGGGTACTTTGTAGCAGCAATAATTCGCCAGATTGGAAGTACACCGTGGCAGAGGGAGCTCCGATGATATTATCGGGAGGAGCATTGGCAGAAGACTTGATGCTACGAGTAGCATTGTAAATCCCGATGATGAGGGCACCGCGAAGAATTTTCTCCTCCTCGGACTCGTACGTCTTCGGATGGAACAGGAGATGTCCTTTCACCCCGAACACTCGGACATCGTGCGCAGGGATATCGCCTAGCTTTCTGTCTCTTAATGAACATCCACCAACAAGGAGTACTGAGAACCAACAAGGAGCCGCACCGAATACTCGAGTCGTCTGTTTCTCAGTCATGCGCACCGGAATTGTGGGAGCCGTTCAGTCGGGGCAATCGGCTTAAAAGCCACCGGATACGTCGAATCGAAATCGGTTGCCTCTACTAGCTTCTAGGCCGGCAAATGAGAGAAAGGAAGATAGAGCACAGTTGAGCGATACGGACTAGAACATTTCAGATCGCGACCTTTGCTTGACCGCAGATCGAGGCGTGATGTGAACCAAGAATTGTGTTCGCCCTCAGCTGTTTCCTTTGCTTTCAGCAAAGAATGATTCACTGAACCCGGGTGAATTCCAGATTGGGGGCGAATCGCTTTGGAGCGTGAATTTCTTCGGGGCTTGTCTCTCCCCGTCATTCGAGCGAGCATGAACGATGTCGCAGTCTCAATCGGAGGGCTCAAGCTCAGACATTTTTCTGCTTCACCTTTTCGCCGGTGCTGCATCCCGTCTTTTGATGTAGAACTACGTCATTGCGCTCGCTAGAGGAGTCATCGGTGAACATCTCGTGCAACGGAAGTGACCGTTATTCGTCAAACAGGAATCGGTGTCAAAGTATTCGGAAAAACCGCTCAAAGGGTGGAGGACCTACGAACAGAGCTCAGAATATGTATACACCACCATTTACGCAACCCCGTACTGCAGAAACGCTTGTCAACTTCTAGCACCGGATGCGCGCGAAAAGAGACCAAAATTCAAAATTCATCATATGGTGCTTGGGTTAAGTTCACGGCCGACGGCTGCCTGGCGCTAGAAGTCATTGATTGACGGATGTTCGAGTGGTTTGGGCTTTTGTTGATTCTTGAGCAAACCCGCGTAATCGTATCGACGCCCCTGCCGCGGGTTGTGGCATGATGCCGAGTTCGGCTGTTGACCGAATATGCAGGTACCCGGGACGTCAGTCTTTGGCGGTGTGGTCCAGCCTAGAGGAGACATGCCGAAATATTGTGAATAACTGACGGCGCTGAAGCTCGCATTTTCGACATTTCCTCGATACTGATATACAGTGGTACCTCGACTTACGATCTTAATCCGTTCCCGGAGACCGATCGTAAGTCGAAAAGTCGAAACCGAATATCCCAGGAGCGCATATTGGAGCGATTGATCCGCTCCGAGCGGGGAAAAAGGACCGCGAAGTTCGCGCGGGCATGTGCAAGCGAAGCACGTTGGACATTCCGGCGTGAAGGTGCGAAATGGCGAGCGCTCCGAGATCGCCGTTCCCGATATGACTCTGGGGATGGTTATTTTTGGTACAGGTCGAAACCGCTCGTGGATTGAATCAATGGTCTTCAGTCGAGGCATTCGTCCCGGTGAAATCGGTCGCAAGTCGAATCGATGTTCGTAAGTCGGAACGAGTTCCTCTCAAAAAGAAGATCATGAGTCGAATCGTTCGTTAGTTGAGGTACCACTGTATCATGATGCGTACGGTGGGATAGACTATGAGACTATGAGTCATTGTCATTGATAACGGAAAGCGGTATAGGGCTGATCAAGCAATGCGTCCGAGAGAGGACACAGCGCAGTCGAAGAATAATTGAGAATGAGCCCTCGGATTGCTGGACGATATATCTTTCGATCGCAAAACAGTGCGTGCGCTGCTACTCCTCACTCTCTCTTTTCGGATACGATCGAAAAAGATCATCGGAGTCAACCAATCAGCGAGCCTGGAATGAGAGGCATGGGAACCATTGGGTGCCTACGCGCCTCGCCGCTGGTTGAGCGTCTCTGGAGAAATGTTACTTCATGCCGAGGCGGCTCTCTAGCGAGAGAGCTTATTGGAATAGATAGCGGTTTCATCATAATCAAAACAAGTGTATGTAACCGGATTCTGGAGGGGGTTTAGTCCGAGTTGCTGGCCGACTGTCGCTCTCAGTGTTGACGATTAGGCATGGATAGGGGTGCGCTTCCATCGCGGAATTCGCGATGAAATCCGCGATTTACTGCTTACCTATGAGGATCCCGCGAAACAGCCAACTTTTTCAGGGAAAGTTGTCTTCAAAACCGCCGGTATTCCATGAATCGCAAGCTTGAATGACCCATTCTGATATTCTACTCATTTCCAACAAACTAACTCTCTGTAGTTCTACGCGAACTCCGGTTTGGCCCTTGGCCGAACCGGAATCAAATTTTTTGGTCGGCTCTCGATCGCCTCCCCAACGCCTTTCGAGGCTCCTGTCTGCCTCAATTCAGACTCTCCGTGATCCGTGAGAATCCGATCTGTGCAGATAAACGAATAATCGATAGAGATCAATCACGCACAGCCGAAACTTGAATGAAGTATGATATGCCGTCGCTCCCTTGTCGGTTCCAGAACGTCCCAGAACCAGAACCTTGTCAATTACAGAACCCGGGGATGAACAAGTGCCAAAATTAGCCTGATAATGCATAGAGCTGGTGATTACCCAGCGCAGAAGAGGTGATATTCATAGATTTGTTTCATCGCAGTCGAGAGCACGCGGTATACCGGCAGACCTGGTCGTAATCCTTGGTCACAGGCTTCGCCGGCAGCGTGTCGCTGAAGAGTATGCATCAGTGTTGGCTTGTTTTCTTCTGCTTCGATCGTGTCGACCGTTCCTCGCCGGAATTCCTCGAAGTCCCTCTGGATGGGCTTCCAAGGGCATACAGTCTCTCTCCGAAACCGGCTCCCCTAAAAATCCTCTCCCGATGATAGTTCACGATACCCGCAACAGCCTAATGATACTCATACTGGGCTATGGCGTGTTGTTCGGGATGCCAAACCACGCGGTTCATCGTGCCCGAAAACTGGTTTAGCCGGTCCCTAGAAAGCGACGATCTTAGCGCTCGGCGCGAGAATTCTCGCTTAGTAAGTGGAAGGCGCATTTGAAAGTCGCGGGCAATCAGTGGCGTACTCGAGGGGGGGGGGCCAAGGGGGCCGAT